TTTTAAATACATGATTGATTTATGATTATCACGTTACGTTGTTTTTTTTTTTTTTCATATTGATTATTTCTGATATTATTTGTGTATTTATACTCATAAATAAGCAAAGTTCTCGAATATTTTAAACATTCAGAAGAGAAACAGCAATTAATTATTTGTTTGGACATTTTAAAATTTGTATTTAAATCTTTCTAACTATTGAATGATTTATCATCGTTTTCAAATGATATTAAAATTCTTGCTATTTCTATCATTATAAGCTGCACTTATCTAATTTATACTATTTATACTATTATATCTAAGTTGTATTTCAATTTATACACTTAATTATTTAAAATTGAACTAATTTCGTCCTAGAGGTATGCGATCATTAATTTTATCTAGTAAGATTTTATCAATGTATTAATATATCCTCTTAGGATTTAAAATTATTATAATATTTATGTATGTAACTAGAACTAGCCCCTTTTATGCAGAGTAGCAACCCGTCTTGCGTTCGAGTAAAACAGTCAGCGCGTACTGATAAATTGACAGAGAAGAGATTGTATCAAATGCGTTCGTTGTAAAGTCGATAATACGATGATAATTCATTGAATTTGAATCGACTATCTATTATAGTTGATGTTTTGGAGCAGTGTCGAATTAAATAATAATCTAATTGCACCTTGAGCATTATTACGCGATGTTTTGTAGTAATGGATTCAAAGTGGATAAAAATTTATCATACAGCTTGCATATAAAATAATTGCAGCTTTCTTCTCTTAATACATTCATATTTAATTTTACTTATTCGAATGATGTACGTAATTTATTTACGAAAAGAGAAAACTCAATTCCAAGCGTAATTTTTTTTAAATATGTACGAATGAAATGTTAATATAATTAGCTTGTTATACTCTATCATTAAAGCTTAAAAAGGATTTATCGAATATGTCATTGTTTCTATTTTGATTATAATTTCGAAAATATGTCAATAGTTCAAAATGCTATATCATACTTCCTGCAGTCACTTAATCGCTCGAGCCTGCCTTGGCCCATAAAGAGTGCATCGTACTTTTAATTGATATTTGGCTTAAATAATTCTTTTTTCTGTTTTTTCAAGCGGATGAATATGCGCGACACTTTATATATATATATATATATATATACTATTTTATTATCCACGACGAGATATCTGCAAGTTTTCCGGTCGTCCTTGATATTTTAGACATATATTGACGCGTAGTAGTTGCGGCATAGATCGCGAAACGAAATTAAATTTGTCTGCGTTGTAACGCTATCTTAATTCTTGTTTACCTTGAGCCGGAGTACGGTCAATACAGTGTAATTACTGTATAGTGTACAGAAATTAAATACAATGAAAATTTGAAAGATGATAACGCTTTGTAGCTGACTCTCTCTGTCGACTCGCCGACTGTGCCGAAACGCGGGAACGGGATCCGAACAGTTTTCGAGAATTAATGATAAAGTCGGATTTTCATCGTCAAATGGTTTATTGATGCTTTCTATCGATATTACAAATGTGTGTGAGGTGAAAAAGATGAAAGAGCCTCGGAAAAAGTATCGATACTTTCGTTAATTTCCTTTCGAGCATTTGTTATTAATCAACATTTTGTTGTCGAAATTTCTATCACATAGATTTTTAGACGTGTATCGAAATAAAAGAAGTAAGATATGAATAATATAATTTTTAATATTTGATACTTTTACATTATTAATTAATGTCAAACTCATGTTCATAAAAGAAATTTTAATTAATTCATTATTGTATTTTGAAAGTTTTTTTTATCGTTAAGGAGAAAATTTATATGATTTGTTATCAAACAGAAATATAAACGTGAAGAGGATTATGTAAGAAACGACAAGAACTTAAAAATGTAGATTTGCAAAATATTTTTTGATATGATTTTTTTCTTTGATCCTTGCTATCGATACTTCTTTTCCGATACAAGTACATTACGTGAATATTTTCTTCAGATAAGTCGGATATCGATATTTTTCTTTCGATATTTTGATCTTGAAGTAGATAAGTACTGAGCCATCCAGGTGATCTAGGAACATAACGCTATATTATTCAATCCCAAGAGAAAATTCGAGATCTTTCTGATGAATGATGATTGTCTGCGGAATATCAATGCCGATGATGCTATAACAAGAACAGATCTGGGCAATTATTTGCAGTATGAAACAATGTTTAAACTTGATTATTTTAATTATGTAAGCAATACGGGAAAGTATAAATTATATATTGTATATAATTATGTATATAATTATATATTGTATATATGATTAAAAAAATAAATCATATTAAATTGTAAATTATACATAACACACACACACATACACATACACACACACACACACACATATATATGTGTGTGTGTGTGTGTGTGTGTGTGTGTGTGTATGCATATAATATTTACATTTATGTTATAAAAATAATTATTTTTGATTTATATAATATAAAATTAAATTTTCTCCAAAAAATGACTTACTGTAATTATTATTACATTAATAATAGAAGTTCATTTACATTAGTAATAATTTAATTTATTACTAATTTTAAACTAAGAAACTAATTAAGAAATTGTTTGTTATTTTATTTAGCAATTATTTGAAATGCAAAAAAAATTATTTGAAAATTTGAATATGAATATATATATATATATATATACGTATACATATATGAATACATATATAAACATATACTAATTTGAGAGCACAGTTATGCTAATTAAATAAGATTAAATCTATTTATTTAAATAATATAAACAATAAATAATTTTATTTACGTAAAGCCCAGGACTGGTCAATAATTTTGATTGAATTCGATTTAATTTAATTATTTCATCAGAACATTCCTCGAAAATTAATCGAAATTTGATTTGGCAAGTCTACTTTATCTCTCTTTTTGTGAAATGATTCCGTGATGATTCGCGTCGACATAGAGAATCGTATTCTATCTTATTTTTAAAACCGCCCCCGTTGACAGGATGTTTGCAAATTTGAGTGTGGTTGATATGAGATAACATACTCCCGATTGATTTATGAAAAAAAAAAAAAAATCGCCAATAAAAAAAACAGAAATCTCTTATGAGGAGACAAGCGAACAGATGTGTTTTTCCACACTTTCCACTCTTTTATCTTTGATAAAGTGCTGATCGAGTGCTCGCGTGCCGAGCCGATACTTTCGGAAATTTCCTCGTTCGTTCGTTCGTTCGTTACGCAATTCTCCGTGAAGTGTGCGCACCACACCCTGTGCAGTTACCCTGAAAAAATGCATGGCAGTAATCGGTCGCCGCGAGATTTCCTCTGGATTCCAGTCCGTTCCGACGACGTAGTATCGATAGCACGCGCTCAACTGCACACGCGCGCAACTGATTACTTATTTTAATTTTATGGATTGACTCGGCTTTTTTGCGTGATCATTCGTGCATAATAATCCGCTGTCTCTTCGCGTGTCGAAATACAGCGCGACTTGCGTCGTTGCTCGCGAGTGAACAATTTATTATGGTACCGTCCGACTTCCTTCGGCCTTACACGCCGGATGCGCGCGCATGCCGATCGATATTTCCGCGAGGCATATGAGCTGCATGCGAAATAACGCCGATCGTTAGGCGAGCAGTGAAAACTATTGCGGTCGTTAACGAAATAACTATACTACTCAAAATGACCAGGTCTCGGCTGAAATCACTCGGCGAAGTTTTGCGCGAGCGCGACTTTAGGTGTCCCGTGGAAACTTTTCCCTCCGGGGGACCGAAACCGGTATAATTTCGGCGAGCAGCAAAGATCTCGATGTTCAAAGCGCCACGCGAGAATAAATTTCGTTCGCGTCGAATCGAATGGTAGCTTCGATATTTGCAAGTATCGGGAATTGGATGAGGCAAAATTAGATCGATATCTATTTCCGACTTTTTTTTTTTTTTACACATATTCGCGCTTCTTTCTCCAACTTTTCGACAAAATGAAACAACATTAATATAATGGACGATTCGAAATGTCCTTCTCAAAAAAACCCGTGCTGTTTTAAGATCAACTTGAATGATAAAACTCAAATCTCGATGTTTCTTTCATTGTAAAAGCACGTAATGTAACGTAACACGATTTCATGATCGAAAGGATCGCTATAGGCCATGACTTTCCGAGCCAACATATGCGATTCTCGCTCGTTAAATATAGATCCTTCGAAGTCATAGCCGGGAATTGCAGGCACGAGACAATAAGAGCAGGAGAGATCAGCAGGATCGAGTACGTGCGAATTGTTGTAGAGAATAACGGGATAAATTAATCACGATAAAAATGTTTCGACGCTGCGAAGCAAAATATTCTCTTTATTATATATACTATAAATCTCTTTTTTATATTTCGGAAAGCGAAATATAGAAGAGATTCGCGGCATTCAGATTTACAAAGATGCGATGATTAACACATACAGTTTACATTGCAATATTTTAATTTTTTGTGAATTCTAGTTGCTTAAAAGAGACAGATATTGCTATTTACAGCCATCTCTCATTTAGACAGCAAAAAGAAAATGAAAATCTCAGATTAGACAATGAAATGATTTAAGGAGAAGAAAGAGTAAGAAAAAGAGAAAAAGAGAGAAAAAGAGAGATAGGAGAGGAGAGGAGAGGAGAGAAGAGGACAAGTCGGGAAAGAGAGTCGCGGGCCGGAAAGCTGAAAAAAAATCGCGCTGTAAAAGCGGCAGACATCTGCTACCAGTGCAATGGAAATTTCCAGTGGCTTAAGGGTGGGGAAGAGGTAGGTAGGCGCACAAGAGGAGATGGAGAACGAGGGAAAGAGAGAAAAAGAGAGAAAGAGCGTGTGAGTGAGCGAGCGAACGAGGGTGATCGTCGGGTGCGCCGAGGCGGGAGAGAAGGACGGCGAGCGCGGAAACCGGACGCGGCAGAAACCGCCGCGAAGAGAAACCTAGATGAACGCGGGCGCCGGGAGTGCGCGGGTTCGCACTCCGGGTGGTCAGCGCACGGGCGGGGTCTTACCTTCGTTTTCGCGAAAGGCGGCAGGCATAGGGGCCATGGCTGCATCATCTGCCTCCTTTGGAAGCCGGGCATCCTGTCGTCGTGTGGTAGGAGGGGTAGGGGCGAGATCGGCGAGCGCAACGCTGTGCGGCTATATGTCTTTTTCACGCTCCCCCGCCGCGTCTCTCACGGGCAAGTGTCGGCGATCGTCGGTGTGTCTTATACGATCAGCTGCTTGTCGTCGTCGTTTGTGGCTTGACGCGAGATCCTGGTCGTGATTATCGTAGGTTACCGGCCGCTTATCTTGGCGAGTAAAGTACTTCCGGCTGTTCCGGGCTGGCTCTGCGATGCCCCTCGCGGGCGACGCCGATGAAACGGCGGTCAGCCGTCGGCTTGGTCTCGTCGATGCGCGACCGGCGCGGCAGTGAGCGTCGATCGGCCGGTGGACGCGTGCGTAGGTGATTACGCGTACGCAGGTGAACGCGTATGTAAGTTACACGCGTGTGTGCGTGCGTGCGTGCGTGCGTGCGTGCGTGCGTGCGAGCGTGCGTACTCCGTCGTAATCGTTCGCGCGAGCGCGCGCGCGCGCATACGTCGCAGCCGATCACACGTGGCTTTGTTGTGACAGCAGCCGACTCCGGGCACTGTATGAGACAGAACGTCGCGCCGTTGACGTCGACGGTAGCTTTCTCCTTGGACACTTTCGATCGATTGTCTTCAGTACCGTATTACGTTTAATACAATCGACGTTCCTGTGTGCGTAGTTGGTTGGTTGATCGGTCGATCGGATGGATGGGTGGATGGATGGATGCGTGCGTACGTACGACGGTGAAAGCCGGTGTGCGGACGTTGCGTGGTGTTACGCACCCTCGAGACGTGACGTAGGGAACAACCGGAGCCTAAATGAGACCGTTCTCGCGGGCTCGCAACCCGTTTCCGTGGCTCACCACCTCCACCGCACTATGCCGGCTCCGGTGTCGGCGATAGTATAGTTATCGGTTTCCCTCTCCTGTTGCTCTTGTCTACGAATTCGTTCGAAAAGCTACCGGGGAAAGAGTCCCACTACGATGAAGAAATTCCTTTTCGTAAGAAATCGATATTTCTGCCTCCCTCTTTCTTTGTCCTTTTCTCGCAATCGCGATTCTCCTTTTTGTCCTGTATGTGGTTATTCTTTAGACAATGTGGGATGTCAAATTCCTGGTGATCCGTCAATTGAGATCGGGTTCAAGAATCTCGATTAATCCTCGCTGTTTCTTTTTATCTTTCTTCCTCCCCGTCGGGGTCTTCAAAAACGTGCCGCTGTGTTGTCGTTTGCGCCTCGTGTCAATTCTTCGATCATCCGGTCGCTATATTCTTACGGCTCGGTTGGCATGGAAAAGTGTGGTGTTACGTGTGTTTTGGGGAACTTTGCTAATCGGTTCGGAAGGTTGTCTCTTATACACAGCGAAGCACCGCCCCTCTGCGCGTGCCGGTAGTGGGGATGCGTCTTCGCGCGGCGCGCGGCGTCGCGGTGCAACTGACTGCGTCACGTCGCGCGCGAAATTATCAGACCTCGATGAACTTCAGTGTTAAGGCCTTTGCACGTAACAAATTTTTAGTCGTAGTCGTAAGTCCGAAAAAAGACTGACCAATCGCAGTCGATTATTCTCCGATAGCAAGAAAAATAATCGACTGCAATTAGTCAATTTTCTTACAGATTTACGATTACGACTAATAATTTTTTATATGCGAAAGCCTTTACGCATGAAAAGCCAGCGCGATACAAAAGATATGACGTTGCTCGTCCAAGAAAGTGATTAAGCGCCACGCTAAGTTGCATCAGATATGATCTAACCGATTAGATTTTAAGTTAGCGCGTCTAAAGTTCCTCTTTTTTCCCTTTTATAGATTTTCTTAATCACACGCGAAATTGTTGACAATTAAAATATTTATTCCATTTTTTTTTGTGAATAATGGATAACTTCTCTGGAGAATAGTATGAATTATAGAAAGAAGGGAAATAAATAAATAAATCTTAATAGATCTCTTTTATGTGTGTTATAATTAATTATTAAATACCAAATAGTGCTCATGGAAAATAGTTATGAGTAGTTCTTTTTTTATATTTTTTTGGATTTATATTTTTATCATAATTGGAAATAATTTTGTAAACATTATATAAAATGTGGAATAATTTAGTTATGGAATAATTTTTAATTATTTATTATGTTTATCGTACGTATTGTTTCCATAACGTATTACGTTTCCACGAAATAAATTTTAAATTATTTATTAATAAATTATCTATGTTCCGGAGTCCTTGGTTTGTCTATCGAAACGTTTGGCTTCAATGATGATTCAATGGAACAGATTTTTTTAAATGAGTATTCTTTATCTCTAGTTAAAAGAAATCTGTGTTTATATTAGCTACGTTATGGAATACATTTCAAAAGGTTTCATTTGAAATGTTACATGTTCTTATTTTTCTTATAGATTATTCCTATAGATTCGAGATTATTATATAATATTCTTATGTATGAAAAAATTAAAAAATATTTTTATTTAATATTGTACGTAACAAAAACTCCAAAGTTTTCTTTACAAAATTATGAGAGATATTCAATTAAAATATCTCAATGCTACAAAAATAACATTTAATTTATTAATGAAGAATCACAAGGATATACTTGTAAAATATTCAAATTATTCAAATTTTGGAATTTAATAAAAAACTCGAAAATAATAAACTTAAGAAATAAACTCAAGAATAAAAAATTTTACTTTCCAAAAATTATTCTTTCTGTTACATTATTCTGTAAATGTGAAAAATATGTCTTGTGTTATGATGAAGGCGTCATATATTAAACAATTTTTTAATGAGCATATACTTTCCAACTATCAATAAGATCTTTTTGCAATGTATCAAGTACATATTATTATATCAAGTACATGTATCATTATACGTTTTCACATCATAATTTGCGAAACAAGTTGCACTGACATTTCTTTCACACTTATCTAATTTCTATCTAATGTAAATTAATAGATAATGATCTTTTTAAAACATGCCCTATTTACACGTTGTCAACTATACCCAATATACATGCATGTATTTTTCAGAATTTTGAGAGATTGCAGAAAAGAGAGATTTGAAGAGAATTTTTTTCTGATTTTAAAATAAATTTGTATAATAAATATATTTAAACCTTGATATCCTTGATTTTATTTAGACTTTAAGACTAAAAGTATAAATATTATATTTAATAAATATTTAATAATTATATTTTTGAAACAATTATTGAAATATATAAAAATTTTACGATAAAAAAAATAATGCTTTTGATGATATATAATCAAGATAAATCAAGATAGATCTCTTTTTTTAACAGCAATAAATATAAATAAATTTTTTAAGATACTATTTTTTTAAGACACATCAATAATTATAATGTACAATATATTAATCTAGAATAGATAAATATAAGAAATATAAAAGATAATAGATAGTTTAAGTGAATAGATAAATTAATAAAGTAAATAAATTAATTATATGCGAAATTGAAGAATGAAATTGAACGAAATCATCAATGAATCATTTAAACGCGTGGCGAGTTAAGGACTGAGCGATATTCGTATCCTATCGAGATTATATTCGTCGAGGTAGGTTCAAATGGCACAGTCTCGGCTGCCCATGGAAGGTTCGAGACGTTCGACCTCGTTCTACCATATATGCCAGTAGCCTGTCTCCGTACACATCTGTCGGCACATCTACACTTCACATCCCTGCAAGTTTCGAATCGTCTCTTACTCCTGTCTCTCTGCTTGTAGATTCTTTTGCCCGCTCACGTACAGAGCAGTTCGTATTTGACTAATAATGCCGGATAGTAGATGATTTTTTTTAAATATTTGTCTGGCACTTTTTTTCTCATCCTTGACGATCTTAAAACTGTTCGATATTGATTGTTGAATTTATATCAATTTTCTATGTCCGCCATTATTATTCGTATGTATATTTACGCGTGCTAAATTATATAAATATTATACGAGCTTTAATTTTTATTCAAGCAAAAAAAAGAAAATAAATCACAATCACTTAAGACACATGTGCTGAACACTTTATGATACTTTTTGTAATTTGTTTTTTTTTATTATTTACAATCTTAAATTTGTTGTCTCGATATTTCTTTAGAAAATTTTAAATTCGGAGAATGTAGGTCTTGAATGCACCGTTATCATTTCATTTTATTGATCACAATTTCGACAATCATCCTTTTGTTTTGCGATCGCAATAATAATCGCAGTAATAATTCGATGATTTATCAGTGCAGAAATAATTGATTGATCTACTTTTGTCCACATTTATTGTATATTATCTTCCGTCTATCAAGAGTCTAATAGACATTATCCACTCCTCTTAGAGACAAGTTTATGGTTCACTTGAACTCTGATCAGTTATGCTTGACAAAAGAGAGTGATTGGCCTTGCCGATAATTTATTTATATGCTGTTAATGTAAACTAGTTGTGATTGTAAACCAGTTATTTCGTAATTTGCATGTTATATTTTATCATTAAATAGACATTACTTCTATTGATCATAAGTAACTAAAAAAATACATTAAGAAACGTTTGCAATCTAGATTGTCGTATCTAATCTTTGTGGAGATTGTATGATATTGAAAACTAAAATTAAGTGTAAAAATTAAAATTTTTAATTTATACAAAATATCAGTAATTAAAAAAAATAACCAATTTGTCAGGAAATTGGTGTTTTCAGGTGTTTGTCAGGAAATGTAATTTTTCTAGTATGCATACAATATTCTATCTTTATATACAGCATTTACTTTATTATCTAGTTGTTTTATTACAATTTATATTAAATACATTGATGCGTCACTACAAGCAATGATGTGTCTTCTTTGTAGTGACGTTTTATTAACAAGGACGAGGGCTCTCAAGCGCCAGTCAAAGATGCTTCAAACGACACTCATCCTACTTTTGGAACGATTCCATTCAAAGAATACGTCTTCGTGTCTTACTCTAATCAATTCCGTTTACTATATTGTATACCGCATGGCAAAATATTCATATTTTGGATGCAATGAGTTGATTGAACGCGCGTTTCAATGAAACGATTATTATTATATTAGATACATTTATTTCACAACTTTTCCTACAATTTGTCACATAATTATTATGAAATTTGCGTAATTAGATGCATCAAAAAAATTAAATTTATTTATTTATTAGAAAAGATTTTCTGAGTAATTAATAATTAATAATTAATAATTGTAAAGAAAAGATCTCTCGATAATTAATAATTAATAATTGTTACAGATAATAAAAACTGAATACAAAAAGTATAGGGGAACGATAGAAATATATTTATAAACAATTTTGTTAGATTAACAAAACATTGTGAATATTAACGTATTATATTATAACAAAATTCATTAAATACAAAAATTTATAAAACTTAGTAAAACTTAAATATTTTTAAAAGGAATGATATTTTATAGTTAAGTTCAATAGTTTCAATTCGTAATGATTACAAATATAAAATAGAAACATCAAAATATTATCCGTATAAATGATAAATCGGTTTATATAAAATAATAAAAAAACTCTTTAAAAAGTGCCATTGACAACTTACTCTCGAATTTCAAAATCGATATAAAAAAGTTATATAATTAAAGGCATATAA